ATGAATCGTCGACCCCCCAGAAATATAAGATAAAATGGGAGGGGGGGGAAGGCAGCGCAGAAGATATCCGGCTTCTTTTATCAATGCGAACGCTTGTCCCTCCGCCCCTGGCTGCAGCCCCTTGGACTTCAAGACGGGCGCTTGCGCCCGCGCGATCGCGCGCGCGCGGGCGCGCGCGCGCGCGGGCGCGCGATCCCGCGCCGCTCGGGGAGGCCTGCCCGAGCGCGGCTCGGGGGGCCGGGCGCCGCGCGCTTCTCCCTGCCGCGGCGGCCCCCGCTCGCGGCCCGCGGCGCCCGCGGCCTGGTGGCCTGCGAGCGCGGGCTTCGCAGTGCGCGCGCGCGCGCGCCGAGCGCGCCAATCGAGGTGGCGGCGGCGGCGGGTCGCGGGGCCGCCCCCGCGGCGGCCCGCGCCCTTCGGGCGGCGGCGGCTCGCGCGGAGGCGGGGTCGGCGGCGGCGCGGCCGCGGGCAGCGGCGGCGCCCGCCGCGGCCGCTTGGCCACGCGAGGCGGAGGCCGTCGCGAGGCGACGAGGAAGCCCGCCGAGCCCGCCAGCGGCGGCGGAGAGTCGTTCAACGTGGAGGACGATTGGCTCGAGCCCGCGGTCACGAGGGGCCCGGGCCGCAAGGTGTCGGAGCGGCGCAACGACGCCTGCCCGACCTGCGCCAAGCTGGGGCCCGGGCGCGGAGAGGCGCCCATCGTCGAGCGCGAGCTCGACGGGCGCGTCGCGCTCAAGGCCCCGGGCCCCGCGACGGACCTGGATGGTCGCCTGGGCGTCTTCGGCCGCGCGAACTTCGACTCGACGTTCGAGGCGATCTACCTCGGCGCGGAACTCGAGCGCGATGGGATCCGGATGGGCATCGCGCGCGACGAGCCTTGCGAGGGGCCGCTCATGCCCCTCTTCTCTGCGGGCGCGGACCGCGGCGAGTGCGCGCGCGGGCAGGAAGTGTCCAAGCTGCGCGACGCGGCGATCATCCTCGCTGGGCGCCGGCGGCATTCGAAGTCGCTGTTCGCGGGCTACGCGGGCGAGGGCGCATCGCGCCAGCGGGTCAGGCAAGGCCGTCGTCGCCGCTCGGGGTCAGGCGCAGGCGAAGGGCCGCCCCTCGAGCGCCGCCAAGATCCGCGAGCCCTCCGCGCCCGTCGACGACAACGGGGAGACGGGCGAGGGCCCCGCCTCTGCGGGGGGGCCCAGGAGGCGGCGCGAGCGCCCGCGCCCCTGCCGCGGCGGGGAGGGAGCGAGGTCTGCGGGGCAAGTTCGAGAGTTTTTGGGGCGAGGCTGCCGACGGGAAGCTGCAGCCCGCCGCCAGGCAGGCACAAGGGTGGTGGAGCCGTCGTCCGCATCCGCTCCAGCAGCCCCGCAGAAGACGCGGACGAGGAGGGCGAGGGCGACGGGGAGGAAGAGTCGGAGGAGCCCCTCGCGAGGCGCGGGCGCTCGAGCAAGCGCTCGGGCCGCAGGGGAGAAGACAGCAGTCGCTCCAGGGCCGCATCCTGTCCAAGGCGCCGGCCCAGGGCGGCTCGGGCTCTAAGCCCAGGCTTGCGTCGCGATCGGGAGGCGGGGGCAGCGGTCGCTCCCGCCGATCTCGGCCCCGCCGCATGGCGAGGGCCAGCGACGCGTCGCGCTCGCGGTCTTCCAGCGACTCGCGGGATCATTTGCTTGACGCCCGACTTTCGGCACGTGATAGGACCAAACGCGAAGCGGGGAGGAAGCCCGGCGAGATCGCGCAGCGTGCCTAGGACAAGATGAAGAGCTACCTTGGCGCTCACAGGCGCGGCTCCGACAACCCGACGCGCCCAGCAATGACCGCCTACTTCGCGAGCGTCTACCTGCCGGGCTGCCAGGGGAAGTTGGGGGCCCGCAGCGAACGGGAGATGCGGATGCAGTCGGAGGCCGTCGACTCGATCTTTCAGCCCGCCCGGCTGATCAAGGCGGCGGAGCAGCGCCATGCCGACGGAGGTTCGCGGCGCGCAGCACGGCGCCTCAGCGCCGCCGGGGACAGCAAGGTGTCGGTCGCGAGGGACAGCGAGCGCCAGGGCATCCTCGTGGACGAGAAGTCGGACATGAAGCGCACGAGGCTCCAGTCCAAGGTGCACGGCCACAAGTCTGCCGCGCACTGACAAACGCCCGGGGGGGCGCGCTCGAGGCGTCGTCGCCCCCGCGGAGTCCGGGCTCGGGGAAGCCATCGCTGTCCCCAGGGCCATGCAGCGCAGCCCAGCGGTGCTCCGCGGCGCCTCCGGGGTGGGAGGCCCCGCGCCGCCTCGGGGCGGAGGTGGTCGAGTCCGCTTCTCGAGGCCCCCCCCCATCAGCGGGCGACCTTCAGTCCTGCCTGCCCCGTCGCCAGCCTGCGCCCTGGAGGATGGCGGGGGGACTTGCCGACCGGCGACGAGGGCCGAGATCGCGGCAGGCCGAGGCCGCGCTCGCCGAGCGGCCCCCCTCCTTGGAAGGGCAAGGGCAAAGGCCGTGCAAGGGCAGAGGCGGAGGCAAGGGGAAAACCTCCAAGTCGGACCAGTCAAGGCCAGGAACGCCAGCCTTCTTCGCCAAGATGCGCCAGGCCGCGACGGCCAGGAGGGGGGTTGTCCTCGGCGGCAGCCCAGCCACGGATGCCCGCTGACCTCGCCCGCGCGCGGGCGAGAGGCCCCCCCGCGGCGCGGGCCCCAGCGCCGCGCGGGGGCAGGCCCCGCCGCAGAGGCAGGAGGCAGTCCAGGGTCGACCAGCCATTTCCCAACGGAGGCGGACCGCTGGGCTCTAATGGCCCAACACCCGCTGGAGGGTCTGAGGCAGGCCCCCCAGCCCGACGCCATCAACGGCACTGATTTGCCCGCGTTCGGCGAGCTGCTCCGCGAGTACCCCCCCGCCAAGCTGCCGAGGGTCGGCTCCAGCCCTGCGGCGGCGCCGCGCGGGGGCCAAGGGGGCCGGGGCCGCAGTCGGAGGGGCATCCTGGCGGGAGGGGGGGGGGGGGGGGGCGCGGATTCGGGCGCCTTTACCGACAGGCGCGGGCCTATCGGGCGCTCGCGGAGAACGGCGACTGGGCTGGGAGGAGGCGGACCCGTCCCGAACCAGAATGCTTGGCGGCATGGCTGGAGTGCTGCACCGTGGCGCTCAATACCACGTGGCTCGAGGGCGACGCGTGCTGGCCCAGGCCGTCGGCGCTCGGGCAGGTGCGGCACGCCACCGCTGCTCGGGCCGGTTCCTTTTGGACTCGGAGCGCCGCGTCGAGGCATTCCTGGGGCCGCAGCCTGAGCCGCTGCCGACGGCCGATGCGTCGACCTTCCTGGCGTCGCGCAGCATCCGCTATATCAGGAGCTGAGCTGGGCGCGGGTCCTGCCTGTGCGCGTCGCTGCGGGTCGAGGACCTCTGCGACGCGCGCATGGCTCGCTGGTTCAACGACCCGCTCGCGACGCTGATGCCGCTGGGCGAGGTGCCAGTCCGCCCGAAGCCTGGGCGTGTCATGTGCGAGCAGGCGTCACTGTCCCCGCTGGCGCGCGGGCTTCTGTAGCGAGGGCTTGTCATTCCCCTTCGGGGGGCTGACCTTTTGCGGATCCAGGGCGAGGCGTCGCTCAATGTGATGTTCGGCGTGCCCAAGCGCCAGGTCGATCCTGAGGGCCCCGAGGGGAGGGAGGTGCTGAGGCTTATCATGAACCTCACTGCGACGAAAGAGGCGTCGCTCGACTACGGCGGGGACACATGGGGCCCTGCCCAGATTCGCGCAGTGGAGGTCCATCTTGCTGGGGCCCGACGGGGGGCTTGCGTGGTCGTTCGACGACCTCGAGGGCGCCTTCTACCTCTTCAGGCTGCCAGGCGCCTGGGCGCCGCTGTTAGCCTTCGACGCGGTCTTCGACGCGGCGAGCCTGGGGGTGGGCCCACCCTTTGGCGGCCAGGTCTACCTCGGGGCAGTCACCGTGCCGATGGGGTACAAGAGTGCGATGGGTCTGGTGCAGTACGTGCACAGGCATCTGCTTTCCGAGGCTGGACTGGGACCTTCGCCGCTGCCAAGGGGCCGCGAGGTCCGCGAGGACAGGTCGTTCCCCGCGCTGCGGGAGGGCACGGCCTTGAGGGAGCTCTGGCAGATCCAATGAGACGACGCGGACTACGCCGAGCTCGCGCGCCGCTGTTCGGAGCCCGCGGGGGGCTTCGCCGCCAGCGCGCGCAACCGCTATGCCGGGCGAAATGCGCCGCTGAGCGAGAAGAATGGGACGCGCGTTGCCTCCTGCCAGCGGCTCGGGGCCTTGGTCGGTGTCAGAGACGGGCGGGTGCGAGCCCCCCCATTCCAGGGCAGCGCTCTGTGCCCTGCCGACAGCTCACCTGCTTACGCAGGAGGTCAGCAGGAAGGAGGTCCAGGTGGTCGCAGGGCACTGGCGCCACCTGAGCTGCTTCAGGCGCGAGCGCGGCACGGTCTTCTGGAGGCCGTGGCGCACCATCGTCCACTAGGATGGTGGCAGGAGGGCCACGTTGGCGGCCGACGTCTGCGCCAACACACTGCGCGAGTTCGACTGCCGCGCGCTCGTGGATGCCATCATCACCGCGAGCGACGCGTCGGAGAGGGGTGGCGGAGCCTGCTGGACGAGGTGCCCCTGTCCCGAGTTCCGCGACTCGGCGCTTCCAGTCCCGGCGCTGGGTCGAGGTGCGAACAGGAGCGAGGTCGGCATCGGCGAGCTCTTCGGGGGCATCGGCGGGGGACGGGCGGCCCTCGAGAGGTTCGGCATCGAGGTTTGTCTCCGCGCCTCCGCCGAGGTCTTCGAGCCATCCGTGCGGGTGGTGCAGCAGCGCTGGCCCGATGGCGCGGAGCTGGGGGGCGTCCGCACCATCGCGGCCGAGTCGCTGCACAGTCTCCTGACGCCAGGCCCCACTTGCGGGTGCTGGTCGTCCTTGGCGGGTCGCCCTGCCTGGGCGTCGCGCGGGCCAACGCGGCCGCAGGTGGCTGGGCTGGGCCGAACCGCGCACTCAGCTGGTTCGGCACATCCCCCGCGTCGTCGCCTTGGCGCGCGGGGCGCCCTGAGCTCTTGGCGCTGCCCCTCGCGGGGAACGCCGGCTCCATCAGCGAGGAGGGCCGCCGCCAGTTCACCGACGTGCTTGGCTCGCTGCCGATCGAGCTCTGCGCCAGCGGCTGCAGTCCGGTCGGGAGGCCGAGATTGCATTGGCTCGATTTTCCGCTGGGCGCCGGGGTGACATGTGGGGCGTTCCGGGGGGCATGGCCACCCCGGGCAGAGTGGCTCGAGCGAAGGGCGGGCCGTCCGCGGGGATAGCACGGCTTGGGCGACCCTCGTGCGCCCCATCCGCCGCGAGGGGCCGCCAGTTGCCCCCGCGGGCCTCGCGGGCACTAGGCCTGCTGCGAGGGCTCGCTGGGGGGCAGACCAGTACCGCTACGCGCCCTACCAGTACAAGCTCGGCAACATGGTGTTCGACAGCCAGGAGCACCCTTGCCCCCTGACGAGCGCGGGGAGAGCTGCGCGGCCGGGCTTTTCAGCCAAGCACTGCCTCTGGGCTGTGCCCATGCCCCCGGTCTCTCCGACCGCGAGGTGGAGGACGTGCGCTGCGGGCTCTACGGCAACACCTTCTCGGCCCCCATAGTGGCAACGTTGCTGGGCCTCGGCCTTTCGGCTGCAGGCGCGCTGGCGCGGCCGCCGACGATCGCTGAGTGCGGGGGCGCTCGCGGCGTCGAGGCGGCCGAGTGCGTCGGCCAGCTGCTGGGCAAGGCCCCCTCCAGCGCGAGCTGCAAGGGGGAGCGCGAGGCGACGCGCGAGGTCCTGGTCCGCTCTGCCATCTTCACGGGCAGCGACGCGCGCGTCGCGAGCGGGCGCGCGCGCGCAACCCAGCTGGGTGGCAACGCCGCGGGATAGAGGCGCACGCCTGGAAGTGGAGAGTGCGTCTCGCCATTCCCTGGGGCGGAGGTCGGCGTGTCAACGTCTTGGAGATGCAGGCCCTGCTGGGCACTTTTCGGTAGCGCCTGCGCGCGACCTCCGCCCTGGGAGGCCGTCTGACTCACTTCTGTAATTCGCATTTGTGCATCGCCGTGGCCTGCGGGGGCAGGTCGACTTCTTCGCTGCTAGAGGTTGCTCATGCGCTTGAGTGCGCTCCTGCTGTCGACGTCGTGCCAACACTGTTCTTTTTCGTTGGGTCGGAGCTCAATCCGGCCGATGCGCCAAGCCGATGGCGGCGACCGCGCCGGCAAGGGGCGCGAGACAGCAGAGATGACGTGACCGAGCAGCGGCAGGCACTTCACGATCGTTCCAGCTCATGCCGCGCACGCTGGGGCCGCCAAGCTTTGCTTCAAATGGCTCGCCAGCCGCAATGAGCCGATGCCCGGGCCCGTCGCGGCCGCCCCCGAGGCCCCCGGAGAGTTTTTGCAAGTGTGCTGGGCGCGGGGCGAGCCCGAGTCCATAGTCGGCGACATCTTGTCGGGCTTGCAGCATTTCGCCCCCTGCCTACAGCGCGCGCCCAACGACTCGCGGCGGCTGTTCCCGACCTGGTCGAAGAACGAGGCCCCTTCGAGGGCTGGGCCCCAGCTGTCTGAGTAGGCGTCGGCCATGGTAGGCTGCGCCTTGTCCGAGGGAGATGAGGCCATGGCCGCCGCGGTGCTCGCGAGCTTCAGCGGTTTCCTGCGACCCGTTGAGGTGATGCGTGATGCTGCAGGCGAACCAGCACGCGTGGAACCTTGACCGCGGCCTGGCCCACATCAACCTCGGCTTCGCCAGGGGCGGCAAGCGCGCTGGAGTGGCCGAGCACGTCGTTATGGGCGAGCTCGAGGCGGCGTTTTCTTGGCGCGGGCGCTGGGCAACGCGCCAGGCGGAGCCCAGCTTCCCCCCCGAGGGGCCGCAGGCTGCAGGGCCAAGTTTCGCCGCCTGGTGGCGGAGATCGGGGCCAATCCTGACGGACATCGCCCTCGTAGCTTGCGCCTGGGAGGCGCCGCGCACCACTTCCAGGTCGTCGGGGGTTCGAGCAAGACCTGCGTTTGGGGCCGCTGAAGGCATCAGCCAACAGCGAGGATCTATATCCAGGATGGCGTGGCTACGCTGGAGCGCAGACGCCTCTCAAGCCAGGGGAAGGACCTCGCGGGCAAGGGCAGGGCGCTGCTGCGTCGCCTGCTGCGAGCCCTTGGCCAGCCCGAAGCCTCCTCGCATCGGGGGCGCCCAGTGGATCGCGGCCGCGCGCCGCCGCCGCGGCCCCCGCCTGCCCGCCACTTGTGGCAGAGGCCGCCCCGCCGCTGGCGGAGGACCCCCCCCCCCGCGCCCAGGGATCGGAGGAGCGTAAGACCCGGGTTTGCCAGGACTCGGGTTTGCCGACGTTTTTTTGACGAGCGCGTCCTGGATTTTGACGGTCTGGTTTTCGTGGGATGTCTGCAGCGGGAGCTCGCGTCAAATTTCAGATTGGGATTCGTCATTTTTATGATGGCCCCGTCGGGCCAACCCGAGTCCCCCGTACCCGAGTCTTACGTCTCCCCGACAGGGAGGCGCTCCTTGCGAGGGCAGGGGGTTGGGGGGGGAGGGAGGCAGCTGCGGCCAGCCGGTGGCCGCGGGCGCCGGGCGCCCTGGGGCTCGGCAGCGCTCGCGCCACGGGGTTCCCGTCGCCGCGGCGCGAAGAGAGCGCGCCGCGCGCGGCGTTTCCAGGAGGCAGGGGGGGAGCGGAGTGAGCACTGAATATGGGAAAGCAGGAGGAATCTTGCTATTTGTATCTATTGCGAAGGCCTTACGGCCGGTGCCGCCGACCCTGAATGGCGACGACGACGACGACGACGACGACGACGACGACGACGACGACGACGACGACGACGAGCGCTCTTGGGGGCCTCTTGGGGGTAGTTTGTGGGCCTCTTGGGAAGCTCTTAGGGGCCGCTTGGAAGCCTCGTGGGTATCTATTAATTTGCGTGCTGCAGGGCCCCTTTCAGTTTGGTGACGCCCGGGAACCAGGTTTCGGGCGGACGCTTCGTCTGTGCGTGAATGTCTAGGGGGCCGAAAACACGGGAGCCCTTCTGTCTTGGGGCCCGTGGGTCATCTTGGCGATCCGAGGCAACCCCCGGCACAGTTGGACACCATCACAAGTTTGGCGACGCCTGGAAGTTTGAACCCCGACAAAATTTCGAGCACGAGCCCCGTCGATGAGAGAATTGCGAGCAAGTTTAGAGCGGGACCCCCCTCCATACTGGGCCCTCAGATCACGTTGTTAAGCCGAGCTGGTTGTCCAGGTCCTGCAACCGCTGTCGCTGATGAACCCCTGAGGCTTGACTTCGGAGGATGTTTCCGGAAGCCCTGTGTCCGTCATCCACAGATTGTAATTCTCGTCGCTTGTGGCTCGACGTTGGAGGAGGTCTCGAGCAGGAGCCTTTTGTGAGTGAATTGCCAGGAAGTCTCGCGCGGGACCCCCTCCCATGGGGCCGCCTGATCACGTTGTTTTTCCGAGCGGGTCGTCCAAATCTTGTCATTGTCCCGCGCGCCCCAGCGGCCCGCATCTCAACAGCTTCTCGATCTGGCCACTGGAGAACGCGCCCGTGCTGGCCGAGGCGGCGACGTCGCCAAGGAAAACCGACATGCGTGCCCATCCAGATGGACAAGGGAGGCGTATGAGGGGAAGAGGCAGGAGGGGGGAGGACAAAGAAACGGGAAAGGAGGGGGAGAGGGAGGGGGAGGGGGCGAAGGAGGAAGAGCAGGAAAACGAACAGCAGGAGAAAAGCAAAGAGGAGGAGGAGGAGGAGGAGGAGGAGGAGGAAAAAGAGGAGGAAGAGGAGGGGGAAAAGGATGAACATGGAAAGGAGGATCAACATGAGGAGGAGAAGGAGGAGGAGGAATACGAAGAAAACGAGGAAACAGAGAAAGAGGCCCAGCAGAGAGCGGGAGGAGATCTTCCGCCAGGGCGAAGAGGACTGGGCGAGGGGCAATTCATGCAGACTCTCGCGCGGGATCCTGCCGTCGGAGTGGTTGCCCGCCAACGGAGCTGGGCCAGGGCCGGGCCGGCCGCGCCGGCCGAGCGTGGGGTCGGCCGCAGGCCGGGCGTGGAGCGACCTGTCTCGGGCTAGTTGGGCCACGGCGTGCAGCCGAGATCGGAATGGGCAGGTGCGAGGTTGGTCCGAGGCGGAAGCTTATGCATGACCACCGCTTGGAGGGTGAGTTGTCGGAGCCTCGGCAGGCGGTGCATGTGGACAAACTCGGGCCCCCCCGGGGCCGAAATATGTCCATATCCGCCGCCCGCTGGGGCACCAAGACTCAGACGTCGGTCCCCAGGCGGTGGATGTGGATAAATCCCTGTCTCGCAGTTGGGGCGCTGGGTCAGCGCGGAGGCGGCGCTGGGTCTGGTGTCGCGAGATTCCGGCCAGCTACACAGGACCGTCACCCCCCAGAGGAGCGCACTGTGTCTCGATTGCAAGAGAAGAAGTACCGCGCCGAAGTACGAGCACGAGAGAAATGTGCAGTGCAGGAGTACGAAGTACAGATATTCAAACATCCGAGTTGTGAGGAAAGTGTATGTGTGAGATAGTTGTGTTGTACTTGTTCAAACGTCGGAGTTGCATGTGTACTGTTGTCAAACTTGTTTCCCTACGTTTTTCGGTACTTTGGATATGCGTTCGTATTTGTTCGCATGTGCTTCATAACCGTTGCTTCGCGTTGCAGATCTGTCACACGTGCGTTTCGCGGATCTCGCCTGGCTCGATCTTTCGATCCTATTTTTTTACACTCGTGCTATCGTGTCATACGCGTACTTGTCCTTTCTTCATTTTGCCAGAATCGAGGGTCTCCCGGTCTAGCCGGCTTCGGATCTTAGAAGTCTCGTGCCAGGAATGGCCAATGCAGGGATTGGGGCTCTGATGGGGCGTTCACCTTTTCCCTCTTCGTCTGAATTTCCCCTGTGCGACCGCCCCAGCATTGCCCGCGCTGCAATCGCTCTTGCAGCAGTGGCGCTGCACTCTATGTGGAGGAGCGAGGCCGTCGCCGCGCAAGACTGGCGCTCGAGGTGCCCGGGGCGGGTCGCTTGTGAAGAGGAGGTGCGCGCAATCTTTTCGCGTGTCCCACGCGCCGCTTCATGGTTCCAGCGATCGGTGAGCTAGATTTGCATCGAAAGACATACATCGAAGAAGAAAGAACGGACAAACATACATAAACTGTTGCCGCTCCGCGCGGATCTCTTG